GCTGCATCTTGGGGAGACCCCTTCACGGTCCGGCAGGTGACCGGGACCGGGTTCGAAGCAGTACCAGTCCGGGGCCCATCCTGCGCCCCAGGGAAGGGTCCCCCCACCACAGGCCCACGGTGCCTGAATGAAAACGCAGGGCCGGTTTGTTTCTGTTCAGTACTTTCAGACTTTCACGCGGCTGGTGAAGGAGGAGCCCCGCTTGAGTATATATGCATTACAAAGTATATATGAGTATATATGCATTACAAAATTCCTGAGGAACCCCTCCCCTCCTCCACCCTCCACCCAGGCCCAAAGCTTTGTGCTGTTTTTTAAAAGCTCTGCTCTGTCGAGCTTCAGTATCTGTGGGAGCAGACAGGGTAGTGTTAGGGTCTCCTACAGCTTTTGGGGCAGTCCTGAGTCTGTGTGTGGCTCCTGCTCTGGAGCAGTCCGATCAGTTTCAGGCTTTCCGCTTGTGGGCATTTTGGACGGGCTGTCGTGATGAAGGGGAGAGATGGTGCCTGATGCCGACGTCGCAGCTCTCTGAATGCAGATTGACTCAGAATAAGGTAACAAGCCCTGTTTTCTTCAGGAGCCTGCAGCCTTAAAATCCCAAATGACTCAAAGTGCCGTGGAATGGAATTGCTGTGAAGCAGGACCAGTTCCAGTTGCAGAGGTTTAGGATTACTGCCGAGCAGGTAGTGCGACTGTCTTTAACTCTGGAGCTATAAAGCAGACAGCCCCTGAAGACACTTCCGAAACGACCTGCTGAGCTGTCACTTTGCTGCTCATTGTGGGGCATAAAAATCTTCTTGAATTTACAGGGCAGCTTTAGAAAAACCTTTCTTTACCCTGTAGCGGAAAGTTGATGTTCATATTGTTTCTTGGCCTGGAAAGTTCTTCTAGCAACCTTCCAGGAACAGTCCTGCTTGCATTTTGCAGCAAAGGAGAGACCTTGTGGTAATTCCTGTCCTAGACGCATGTTTGTGTGCAGTGTTTCATTATTACTGAGGATCGATGCACAATTCAGCTTGCAGCTGCTTGAAAAATCTCCTTCCTGTG